TTCATTCATTCATTCATTCATTCATTCATTCATTCATTCATTCATTCATGTCACTGTGGGTGGGCTGGGCTTCCATACTGAAGATACGGTGTAAAGCCTTATTTCAGAAGCTGGCTCTCCTTGCCGGGCTTGTGGTCTGACACTTGGTGAGACCTGTGTGGATACGAACACAGCCAACCCTGTGCTCTCAAGACTAGAGACCACAGTACTCACTTTGTGTGTCTTGAATCCTTTTGTGTCCGGCACCACAGGATTGCTGAGCCAGCCGGAGCTCTGTGAAGCCGGGTGGGTGATAACCAGTAGCTGTGGACGTTGACGGAGGTGAGTGTGACCCCAAGCCGTGGGAGGCAGTTCCTTCCAAATGCCCCGAGAAGGTTCGGAACCGTGTCTCAGGCAGTGGGAGGGGCCACGGTTCTTCCTCTCCGGCTGGGCTGGCCTGGTTGAGGGCCCTCCAGGAGGCATAATGCTAGCCCAGCCGGAGGCCTCACCACGGTGGATGGACGTCTGGGTTACAGCACAACCACAGTCAATGGCATTGACTGTGACATTGTCTAGCTTCATTTTTCAAGAATCAGTGGACTTCTGTTGTTATCATTTTAATAGCTCTAAAACTCCCAATGCAAAGTTGGATGTTGTTGAGGCAAGCAGAGATAAAGGAAACTCTTTGCCCTGTGGAAGGCTTTGAGCTTGGTTCGCACTGGCTGGGACTGCCATGAGGGCGTCCCTGCGTTGAAGTGTCTGCTGGGTTCACAGATCTGTGGTGACGGCTCAGGGACTGGGAAGCTCGTCGGGAAGGACGCTGCAGTGATCTGGGGACTTCTGGACAGAGCAGCAGCCCTGTGGTTTGGGTGTCTACCTGTTCCTCAGTTCTCTACCTCCAGTATTGGGTGGTTGTGGCTTTCCTGATAAATTGCCGCTTCTCTGGAAGCTTTAAAAGTAGAGACAGTTTTCATCTAAAATGATATTTTTTTGGTAGAGTCTCACTCACATTGTAGCCCAGGCTGGCCTGGAACTCAGTATTTAGGCCAGGCTGGCCTGGAACTCAGTATGCAGAGCAGGCTGGCCTCAAACTTGGAGTCATCCTCCTGAGTGCTGGAATTATAGGTGTGCACTCTCACACCCGACTTACAGTCATTGTTATTATTTTTAACTCAGTTTCGCCATCCCTCGCCTTCCTGCTTTGCTGTTTTAGAGTGACAAAGGTCAGAGATGAATTTGGGGGAGCGTGAGGGAAGTCAACGAGTGTAATCCAAGCTCATATCTAAATTCTTAGAATTCGGACACGTTCCTGAGGTTCCGTGTGAAGTAAGATGTTTGTCACTGTTACAGTATCAGCGGAAAGGCTCTCTCTGTGCTGAGGATCAAGCACCTTGTTACTGTGGAGACCCACGCCTGAGCCCCGGAGAAGTCTACCCCGAGACCTTCTGGCTGCTACAAAGCCATCTCCAAGAGCTTTTTCTGTAGCAACTCGTGCTGGAATGCTCTGGGCACAGTGGCGTGAGGAGATGCTGGCTGTGTTTGTGGTTGATGGAGAGTGGTACAGAGCCCCAGAGGAACCCTGATCCTAAACAGCCTGAAGAAGTGAGGGGGTCTGGGCCCCTCTCCCCACTAACCTTCTGTCCTGCTTAAGGTTGGGAGGTTGGTAGAAGGGAAATAGAGGTCTAAACACCCCCAAATAAAGTAGAATTTAAAAAAATTCCACTACAGGTGGCCTTCCACTACAGTAGGGTTTCTCTGTATAGCCCTGGCTGTCCTGGACTCCCTTTGTAGACCAGGCTGATCTCAGACTCACAGAGATCCGCCTGCCTCTGCCTCCCCGAGTGCTGGGAGTAAAGGCGTGTGCCACCTCGTCTGGCTCTAATTCACTTCTAAGTAAGTCACTGGCGAACCTTGCAGTGAGTTGAATGATGCCTTGTGGAACACTGTGCAGGGAGCCCTTGCACCCGGCTCTCACTGCCGGATGGGACAGAGCTGAGGGTGCCTGTCTGTCACACCGCTCTGCTGTCCCCTGGGTAGAGCTGAAGTGCTGGCTGACTGGCTTGTGTTTCTCTCACTCTGTTGGTGGTGAACAGAGCCGTCCCTGGCCAGCTCGAGAGCAGGAAAGGCCTTCAAGGAAGAAGACCCTCACAGTGAGCCATAGGGACGCAGAGATGAGTGGCTGCGGGGCTCCCACAGAGGGGCCTTCTCGTGGAAGAGCATCTGAGCAATGGACACGGCCTACAATATAATTTAACTTCCTAGTTGTAGCTGTAATCCTCTGTGATAGATACGCTAAAATGTCTTCATAGCAGAAATGTAAGTTTGACCCGCCAGGTATGGCAATTCTGTGCCTTCACTTGGGAGGCAGAGACAGGAGGATCTCTGTGGGTTCAAGGCCAGCCTGGTCTACATAGTGAGTTTCAGGACAGTCAGGGCTACGCAGAGAAACCCTGCCTCTAACTAACTAACTAACTAACTAACTAACTAACTAACTAACTAACTAACTAACTAACTAAAAGTTTGAGATGAAAGACATTAATATGGGAGTTTTGTTACATTTCTTGGACATTCAAATGCAGTTTATGAATATTGTACCTTGTAAAGATGCACTTAAAAAAAAAAAAAAAAACAACTCAGCTGCCTGGATCCCCAAGTGCAGAGCAGCAATCCAAAGTAAGTTAATGATTTAGAGACTGGGCTCTTGTGTTTGGAGAGCGTTCAAGGTCATTGCTAATATCAGGGACATGACCACTTAAACATTTACACTGCAGGCTGCTTTTTGGCTTTGGTCATGTTTTCTAAGAGGGTGATTTCAGGTCTGGTTCTTTGCAGCAGGTGGAGAAGGCAGTGGAAGGGACTTTGTCATTCTTAGGATGCTACGCGGTGACTCGGAGTGACGGCGTAAGAGACATTCTTTTAAAGTTCAGTGAGTGTGTCCAGGGCTAACGAGAGAGGGCTTTTACTTGCCTCTTCCCCTGTTCACCTGCCACTCGTGACTGGCGCCTCATCCCTGTTTTGCTCATGAACCCTTGTTGCCTGTTGGGGGGAAAAGCGAAGAGCTGGAAGAGCTGGAGTCCAGGTCCCAGTCCCTGGAGATCCCCTCAGGTGTTAGAGCACCGCCATGTTGGAAGCGCAGAGAGAGCTCTGCGGGTCGCTGGAGGCTTGGAACCGCAGCTCTTCAGCTCAAGTGTCGTGGAGAATTTTGGCGGTGGTCACCCGTGAGGTCTGTGCATAGACACTTTCTGGAGAATGGACCATGACCTCTAGGTTTGAGCCTCAGCCCTGGAAAAAGAAAAAGACAAACAGGAGAATAATTTGGCATCTCTCAGATCTTCAAAATAGGAGCAATAACACGTGCCCTTATTTTCAGTTATTAACAATCTCTGCGTGTGCACGTACACACATTTGGACACTTGGGTGACAAGTGTTGCCCACAGAGCTTTTCTCCAGCCCTACTGTAAGATTCTAAAGAAGTATCAGCAGGGCCATAGAACCTGAAGGGTCAGATGTAACACGGTGCGTGTGAGTATCAGAGCCGTCGGCCATTACTACAAATTCTGCTCTTCATCCCCTCCCTGCACACCCCTCTGCTGTCCTCCTTCCAGCCCGCCATGGCCACGCACTGTACCTCCGAGGAGGAGGAAGGCCTCTGAGGAAGGTTTAGCGCCTTTCTCTGAACAGGTGTTTGGAACAAGGGCGTGGGAAGAGCATGTCTTGGGCCACACAGTTGAGGCCGTAGTGCTAGAAATGTTAACTCGGCAACAGGAAGTGAACCTGTTCTCCACACACGCTCAAGTCCTGTCTGTCTCGTATTCGCCCAGGAAAAGGCTGCCCGAGGTGGGTCGTCAAGGGCCAGAGCGGCTTTTCTCTATCAGCTCTAGACAGTTTTCAGCAGGAGAGTCAGATTTTGATCTCCCAACAGTTGGTTTGCTCCGGAACAGTCCGGGTCAGCTCTAGGACAGCGGGGTGGTCTAGGGGCCGGGAAGGCTGGCTCACGGCAGAGGGGAACGGATGCAGCATTGTAACAGCTCACGTTACTCAGTGTTTTCACCTGTGAAGACCTGGGAGGCACACGCTGTGGAAAACCTGCCAGCTCAGCAAGGTAACTGGATTTTCTGACTGAGATACGAGATACCATGTTCACCCGTGAGTCTGCAGCTGAACTGCTAGCACTTTAGAAATCTCTCTCTGTGCCATTCTGCCTCGCCAGCCTCCCTTTCTCTTGATCTCCTCCCAACCAAGAGGTCTCTTTACTCTCCTTCCCACAATTGTTGCCGCCGCTTCTCTGTCCCCCAGGACTCCTTCCGCAGAGACCCTTCCAAGCCAGAAAAGAGAGTTCTGTGGAAAAGCTTATAAAAGAAGCTTCTAGCTCCTCCCCTGCACCTTGGCAGGCTGAGCCAAGTCACTGTCATGGCGTGCACGCGTGTGTATGTGTGTGGTGTGTGTGTGTGTGTGTGTGTGTGTGCTCCAAGCCCAGTCAGTAGGGGCCGAGCCATTTTACCTTCACGGTGCGGCAGCTTGAGGCCACCAGCTGCCTTTGCCTTGGGTCACCGAGCAAAGCGCACAGGAACTCTCCCAAGCAACTTGCCTTAAAACTCGCAGGGACTCTGCCTTCTGCGGCATTCCTGCCTGGGAGGCTTCAGAGGCCCAGCCAAGCGACGCCCTTCAGGACACACCTAACTGCCTCTGCCAAACGGGCATCTGTTTAGACGTCTGTAATTCGCTAACAGTCAGGTTTCTTATGTAAAATAGTCAGCTGTCCTGTGACTTACGTGGCAGCAGCTGCAGTGGGGCAGAGCCACAGGCGCTGAGGGGACGATGCCTCTGCCCAGTGTCTCACTTTAGAGCGGGGAGTTCGAACGGCCGCCCCTGTTTCTAAGGCTTTAGTACTCCGAAGACTAAACGCATGGATCTGAAAGAACTTGCTGCTGTCTGCATAAAATGGCCTCAGTCTGATTTTGGGCTTTCCGTGTTCCTTCTCTAGCACTCACTCGGGCACAGCACCTGCTTTTCTTCTTATTTGCACAGACATTCTGAGCGTCCCGGGCCGCCACCCACGCTTTCCGCACGGTCTGCCAGTTTCCTTTCCTGCCTGCACGCCTGCCGCCGGTTCCTCACAGGTGTCAGCTGGGGCTGCTTTCTGTTCTCCAGGCCGTGAGCACCCTTCATGAGTGACAGAATCGCGTGGCAGTCTCTGAATGTGTCACGTGTGTGTGTGTGTGCATGAGGGTGCACCTCTGCATGAGTGTCGAGGCCAGAAGTTGATGGCAAGTGCATTTCCTCAGTGGCTCTCCATCTTAGCTTTGGAGATGGAGTCTTGCAGGACACCCGGAGCTTGGTGATTGACTAGACAAGCTGGTGAATTCCAGGCATCCTCCTGCCTCGGAGTCCCCAGTGCCAGACCGCAGGCACGTGTTGCTCTGCCTGGCTGTCTGTGTGGGCTCCAGGGATTCGAATTCAGGCCCTCAGGCCTGCGAGGCCTTCCCAGCCTGGTTCCGTCTCTGTGAGTATGGGGTTGTCCTTGTTCCTCCCTTTGGATCTAAACAGAAGGGCAGGGGCTACACGTGGCTTGTCCATAGCTATGCCGCCAGGGCCTCCCTCTGTCTGCCGCTAGACCCTATCCAAGAAATCGACGCCTGGAGGATGTGCTTTTGGCCAAGACTTTCGCCTTAGACAAATCTGGTTTTGAATTGCACCTCACAGCATGAAGAAGCAATTTGACCCTGACACCTAACATCCTTAACTATAGACTGGGAGGCTGTTTCGAGGTCAGCAGTGGTCCACACACATAAAACAGGTCGTCGGCCCAGGCTCTCGCACCAGGCACCTGAGCGTGAATTCAAGCTAAGCTTTAGTGTGGGTGGGAGACGGTCATGAGGACGGGCGCCCGCAGGCTAGCGCCACAGCGGAGCCGGGCTCACTCTCCAGGGTGCCGTCCGTCCGGCCAATCGCGCGCTGTTTGCTTAGCAGGCTGTTCAAAGTCACGCTGCCTTATCAATTATTTGTTTTGGTTTTGATCTTTCTTTCTGCCCTATGCCGCTAGCGTGCCTTCCTACCTGGAGGGTGCCGGGCCTGTCAGTTCTGGGTCAGTGCGGCTCTTTTCTCAAGTGCTGCAGACACCTGGCCGCATGGGGGGGAACAATAACTCGCTTGCTCTGTGCGCATGGCCCTGCTCCGTCCGCTTCCGCCTGCCCGGGCTGCTGGCCGGGAGGGGAGGGGGCCTCCGTGCCGAGCCGCCGTGACCGCACCGCGGTCCGCTCCCAGCTCGGGAGCCGAGCTTCTCAGCCGGGCCGCCTCTGCGGTCTGAGCTCCTGAGCTCCTGAGCTCCGCTTTCCCCTGGAGGGGGGTTTCAGGGACTCGGCTGGGGAGGGGCTCGGAGGGAACCCCGTGGTCGGCTGTAGGTCAGTGACTTTGATGCCTCCTTTTAAGGTGGGATGAGTTCATGCAACAGTTTTTCTAAAAGAGCACATTGTTGGCTAAGCATTTAATTCGAGTGTGTGTGTGTGCATGTGTATGTGTGTGTGCATGTGTGTGTATGTGTGTGTGCATGTGTGTGTTCATGTGTGTGTATGTGTGTATGCCTGTGTGTCTGTGTATGTGTGTGTGCATGTGTGTGTATGTGTGTGTGTTCATGTGTGTGTATGTGTGTATGCCTGTGTGTCTGTGTATGTGTGTGTGTGCATGTGTGTGT